GTTAATGGAATAAATATAGGTAAACATAAATCTTGTTGACTTTCTAAAGTTATTTTATGATTATGTATCATATAAATAGTTTGTAATGGTTCTATTTTATTTCCACATATAAGTATTATTTTTATTGATAAACGTGTTATATCAATAAGATTTTGATTTATTTTAATAATTTGATTTTTAATATGTAATTCAAAAAATAATGCACGATAAGATTGATATTTTAATTGAAATATATTTTCAATATAATTACGATTAATTTCTTCAATTGTATTTTCTTTTATTATAATATGTAATGTATTTTGATGTGTACCATTATTTTTATTAAATAAATCATATATAAATTGTTGATGATATTGAAAAAAATCTTCAAATATTTCTTTATTATTAAATATTAATTGTATACATTGTAGTATAATTGTTAAACATTGATTATTTTCTTCAAATTTTAAATTTTCATATTGAATTAATGTTTGAATTTTACATTGTAAACATTCTGGATAATAATTATGTATATCTATATCATGATTTGTAATTTGTTGTATAAAACATTCATTTATTGATTGATTATTAATAAATTCGAGACAATCACAATGAATATATGGAAAACAAAGAAGAAAAAGAAAAAATTTCATTCAAATCCACTCATAAAAAAAAAAGCAAAAGTCAGCGCGTTTTTTATCAAAATATCATAAGAGATTTGTTGCACTAATTTTAGAATGTTTCAATATTTAAAAATCAGATGTATGTAGTTCATCAATCAGATAACTTGGAAAAATATGTTCAATGCACGACATCGAATATTTACTCAATATCTTACGGATGTATTCTTATGCTGAAGTTAGAGCAAATTTTGTTTATATATATATATATATATACTTATATTTTCAGAAAAGAAATATTAGAAAAGCTAACGAGGGAACCTTTTCAACTGTCCAATCGCTTTTGAGTTCCAACTCAGTGTGAAAGATAGACCCCAGTGAGGTATGAAAAGCTCCAAAAGGATAAGTGCCCATAGGCCTTCTGTCCAGAGTTATAGGCAT